CAGAGCTAATGACCCAGGATGGGAGACAGGACATGACACATTCAATAGTGCTAGGAACAAATACACAATTGTCAAGTACTCCTAATGTCTCTGCTTTAATCCCCAGATGGATCACATCCGTGCAAAGATACCTTCCTGAAGTTGACAGACACATCGCCACTTCACACATAATTGATAATTGATGTCTGCTTTGTTTAAATACTTGTTGTAAGGTATTATGTAAGATATGGGCAGAAAACACTGTGTAACCTTTAGATTATTGCTCTTATTTTGCCTCACAATTAGCACCTATCCAGGGGTCTAGGATCTTACCCCCCCATAACTTGAACCGCCCATTAAGCATCCTATATAATTAATTGTAATATATGGTCTGGCAGTATTCACTGAACCTAGCAAGGACGTGATACTCCGCCAGCGCTGTGTGTGTAATAAACTCTCCTGCTTGCTTCACATATGGTGTCCAGATTCTATTCCTTCAGTTTGCTTAAAAAGTTGGGATAGTGGCAGGATGCCAAGTTTTTCAATTGCATTTTTATTTTAACACAGTTTGTCATAGGAAACAAGTATTTTCAAAAGAATACAGGGCCATGGATGTTGCTGGACCAGAGCACCAGAAGAGTGAGCTGAGAGAATGCGGGGGCTGGGGAGCCCCAGTTGGGCCAGGTAGCAGCTGGGGAACTCTCACCCTGGCCAGGGAACTCCTAGCATCAACGGGGCCAAGTAGTGGCTGGGGCACCCCAGAGGGGGAACCCCCAGCTGCAGTGGGACTGTTGGTGGCAGGCAGTCCAGCCAAGGAAAGTCAGGAAACCTTCAGTGGCAGCGAGGCCGGGGTGACCAGGTGGGGAACCCTCCAGTTGAAGCAGGGCTGGTGGAGGTGGTGGCCCCGGCTGGGGAACCCAAGGGAATCTCCAGCGGGGCTGGCCCTAGCAGAGGGGCAGGATGGCTGGGTGGACCCAGCTGAGGAACCTGAGGGAACACCCTGTGGAAGTAGAGCTGTAGCGGCTAAGACTTGGTCCCAGCCAAGATCCCTGGGGCAGCAGGATGGGGAACCTGTGCCAGACCAGTGTTAGTGGGGCCAGTGGCAGGGCACAGAACTCCAGGGAGGAAAGTCAGTGAGCAGGTCAGCCAGTAGGGGAGCACTGACCTCCCTTGATCTGGCAAACTCCCTGGTTTGGGACAGCTCAGGTCCTGAGGGTGCCAAATCAAGGAGGTTCAACCTGTATTATTCTTGTCTGAAATGCAGGCTCCTACTAGAAGTGATAAGCATCAGAAAAGTAATATGATGTCAACATTTTAATAAGTGGCTCACACAAGCATTTTCTCCTACCCAGTCATATGCCTATTTTATTACTTAGATTTTTTACTTCTGCACACCCCATCAAAGTAATTTAACCAAAAGTACCTTAAAAGGTTCAACCTGTATTATTCTTGTCTGAAATGCAGGCTCCTACTAGAAGTGATAAGCATCAGAAAAGTAATATGATGTCAACATTTTAATAAGTGGCTCACACAAGCATTTTCTCCTACCCAGTCATATGCCTATTTTATTACTTAGATTTTTTACTTCTGCACACCCCATCAAAGTAATTTAACCAAAAGTACCTTAAAACACACACACACACCCCAGCCTTACTCGCGTGTTTTCCTAACATGCTCGGTTCCATATTCACCACTGAGGAAATATCATTTTGTCTGTGAAAGTCAGAATTCTGAGTTATTTCTTCATGATTGACATGTGAAAATGAACACTTCCTTAACCTGCGTCATAGAACAATCCCTTTTTATTTTGCTAGAGCTGAAAGAACATGAGGCATTTTTGTGGAATCTGCCATCCTTAGGTTTAATCGGTTTCACAGTAATTATTTTACTATCACAATATCTTTTGGAAAAGAAGATCTTTATACACTGAGGATCTTGTTATTCCATTATGGCTCTCCATATTACCTTA